GTATTTCACTATCATGTATTGCAGTTTGATTCTCAGTTCCTGAATGTTGAACACCTGTATTTGGGCCTGAGGCCGTAGTTTATATGCTTTATGCATACTTGGGCCTGAGGCCGTAATTTATGCTTTATGCATGTTTGGGCCTGAGGCTGTAGTTTATGCTTTATGCATTTTTGGGCCTGAGGCCGTAGTTATGTATACGTATACTTGGGCCTGAGGCCGTAGCTTGTGTACATATCTATTGGGCCCAAGGCCGTAGCTTATTTAGATAAACAGGTTGTTCATCATTCAAAAGAGGGAGTATTTATATCCTTACTTCCTTTGTTCAGTTCAGTTATCAGTTATCATTTCAGCTATTAGTTATCAGTTCAGTTATCATTTCAGTTATCAGTTATCAGTTATCATTTCAGTTATCAGCTATTAGTTTCTGTGACGACCCGGCCGGTTGTCTTAAGAATTTATGCCCCGATCCCCCACTAACTGCTTCCCCTAAGTTCATTTCTGCTATTTTGGTTTGTCGGGACGTTCGGTGTTGAGTTTCGGAGAGCTTTGGGACACTTAGTCCCTAAATGAGAGCTTAAGTGTTGAAAAGTGGTCTGTAGTCGGAACAGTGTGAAGACGACCTCGGAATGGAAATTCGATGGTTCCGTTAGCTCCGTTAGGTGATTTCGGGGTTGGGAGCGAGTTCGGAATGTATTTTGGAAGTCCGTAGCTCATTTAGGCTTGAAATGCCGAAGTTTGAATTTTATAAGTTTCCGGTCCAATAGTGTGTTTTTTATCCGAGGGTCAGATTGGAATTCCGGAAGTTACAGTAGTTCCGTCATGTCATTTGGGATGTGTGTGCAAAATTTCAGGTCATTCGGACGAGGTTTGGGTAGGTTTTTGATCGAAAGCGTGTTTTGTTGGAATTTGAAGTTCTTAGGCTTGAATATTTGATTAATTCGGGTTTCCAGCGTTGTTTTAGGTATTTTTAAGATTGGTACAAGTTGAATAAGGTATTGGGTGGTATTGGTGCTTTTGGTTGAGGTCCCGGGGGCCTCGGGATGATTTCGGGTGGTTAACGGAAGAATTTTGGAAGTTGAGAGGTAGCAGTTCTGCTGCTTCTGGTATCTTTTCGCTTCTGCGGCTTGGGAACCGCAGAAGAGGAGCCGCAGAAGCGGCCTTGGTCATCGTAGAAGCGAAATTTGGACTCCTCAGCTTTTCCGCAGGTGCGGAAGGTTTGACCGCAAATGCGGTTCGCACCTGCGAGATTTGTACCGCAGAAGCGGAACCTGGCCCATTAAGTGAAAACCGCTGAAGCGGCTTGGTTTCCGCAGAAGCGGTCCCTTGTCCGCAGAAGCGGAAATACCTGTTCAGAAAAGGAATTTCGAGGGTTGAGTTTCAAAAGTGAGAAAAATCAATTGAGAGCTCAGGAGAGGGCGATTTTGAGTGGGTTTTGAAGTGAAGATCATTGGATTTGGGCCATTTGGAGTTGGATACTCGTGGCAAGAGCGTGGTTTCTAGTTGATATTGAGCCGGTTCGAGATCCAGGTACTTCCTCCCAGGCGTATCATCCTCATGGTGGAGAGTCCTAGCTGAGACTTGAGGTATATCTGCTACGTCCACAGACCAGGAGTCTCTACTCTATTCCGGCTTTAGCAGATAGTTCCTTTCTTTCCTTTCATGTTGTTTAGACATTCTGGTGTAGAGCAGATTACTACATTCTATTAGCCTGTGTTTCCCGTGAGTTTCCGGGTTTTGGGATTTAGTTGTAGACTTCCGCATATTTTTGAGTTGTATAGGCCGAGTGGCCTTATATACAGTTGTTATTTCCGTATGTTCAGTTTTAATTAATTATTCCGCAAATGTTAATTTGTTATTTCGCACTGTTAGGCTTACCTAGTTGTTGGAACTAGGTGCCATCACGACATGTTCATGGAGGGCGAACTGGGGTCGTGACAAGTTGGTATGAGAGCTCTAGGTTCATAGGAGTCACGGAACACAGGCCGGTTTATTAGAGTCTCGCTGATCGGTACGGAGACGTCTGTACTTATCTACGAGGGGCTATGTAACTGTTTAGGAAAAATCTTCATTTCATTTGAATTCCTCATCGTGCGATATTTTTGGACATCAATTCTAAACTTCTGACTTCTATTCTCTCACAGATGGTGAGGACACGTGCTACTCGAGATGATCAGGCACCCGCGCCCCCTACTGCAGCCGCTAGAGGCCGGGGCCGGGGGAGAGGTCGAGGACGCGCACGTGGTGCAGCCAGAGCACCTGCGCGAGCTGCCGCCGAGGTACCACCAGCAGATCCAGCCGGAGCCCAGGCACCTGGCACACCTACTACTGCCACTACTACTCCAGCGCTCCAGGAGACTTTGGCTCAGTTCATGAGCATGTACACCACCTTGGCTCAGGCAGGGTTGCTTCCCATTGCTGCAGCCACATCCCAGGCCGGGGGAGGAGCACAGACTCCTGCCGTGCGCACTCCTGAGCAGCGAGTGCAGGTTGAGCAGGCTCCCGAGATTATTCCGGCACCGCCTGCAGCGCAAGTTCAGCCCAAGGTTGGGTCAGCTGCTTCAGAGGACGAGCAGTGGAGACTTGAGAGGTTCAAGAAGTATGATCCCCCAGTGTTTAGTGGATTAGCATCAAATGATGCCTTGGGATTTCTAGAGGAGTGTCATCGTATTCTTTGCATTATGCGCATAGTGGAGTCCAGCGGGGTTTCTTTCACTGCTTTTCAGCTTCGGGGAGCCGCCTATGATTGGTGGCGCACTTATGAGATAGACAGTCCAGTCGAGGCTGCTACACTGACTTGGACCCAGTTCTCGGATATGTTCATGAGAGAGTTTGTCCCCCAGAGTCTCATGGATGCATGGCGCGCAGAGTTTGAGCATTTGCGCCAGGGTGCTATGACCGTTTCAGAGTATGCTATCCGTTATACCAGGTTGGCCAGGCATGCACCGGCTTTGGTTGCTACAGTTCGGGAGAGAGTTCGCAGGTTCATTGAGGGTCTTATTCCACCCATCAGATCTAGCATGGCTCGAGAGTTGGAGATGGACATTCCTTATCAGCAGGTAGTGAGCATTGCTAGGAGGATTGAGGGTATGCTTGCCAGGGAGCGAGGAGAGAGGGAGGCCAAGAGGTCTCGAGAGTCGGGTCACTACTCTGGTGCCCGTACCCCAATAGCAGGTCGTTATGGCAGAGGTTATCCGGGTCGCCTTGTACATTCAGCTCTTCCAGCAGCCGGTAGTACTCCAGCTCCACCTACACCTCAGGAGCCTTATTATGCACCTCCAGCTTCTAGCGCGCCTCCTGCGCGGGGTGCTTCCAGAGGTCAGTCCAGCAGACCTGGCCCTAGTCATTCACATGCACCGTGTCCTCCCAGAGCTTGTTACGAGTGTGGTGATACACGTCACTTGGTGAGGGATTGCCCCAGACTTGGGAGGAGCGCGCCCCCACAGACTTCTCAGCCACAGCATGCTCCTCGGAGTTCCCAGGCCATAGTCACAGCTCCAGCTGCTACCCCACCTGCCCAGCCGGCTAGGGGCGGAGGTCGGGGAGATAGAGGTCGCCCTCGAGAGAGGGGTCGGGCCAGATATTATGCTATTCCTGCTCGTACCGAGGTTGTTGCCTCTGACTCCGTCATCAAAGGTATTATTCTGGTTTGTCATAGAGAGGCATCGGTTCTATTCGATCCGGGCTCTACTTACTCTTATGTGTCTTCTTATTCTGCTCCTCATTTGGGTGTGCCTCGGGATTCTTTGAGTGCCCCCGTTTTTGTTTCTACTCCTATGGGTGATTCTCTTGTTGTGGACCGCGTTTATCGGTCATGTTTGGTTACTATTCGTGGTTTTGAGACCAGTGCAGACTTATTATTACTCGGCATGGTGGATTTTGACATTATTTTGGGCATGGACTGGTTGTCACCCCATTTTGCTATTCTTGATTGTCACGCCAAGACCGTGACGCTGGCTATGCCAGGTATTCCGCGTATTGAGTGGAGTGGTACTTTAGATCACACTCCCAGTACAGTTATCTCTTTTCTTAAAGCTCAGCGTATGGTTGAGAAGCGGTGTGCCGCGTATTTAGCTTATGTGAGAGATGTCAGTGTTGATACCCCTTCTGTTGACTCAGTTCCAGTGGTACGGGATTATCCCGATGTGTTTCCAGCTGACCTTCCGGGCATGCCGCCCATAGAGACATTGATTTTGGCGTTGATCTGTTGCTGGGCACTCAGCCCATTTCCATTCCTCCGTATCGTATGGCTCCTCCTGAGTTGAAGGAGTTGAAGGATCAGTTACAGGAATTGCTTGGTAAGGGTTTTATTCGGCCATGTGTTTCACGGTGGGGTGCTCCTATTTTGTTTGTGAAGAAAAAGGATGGTTCTATGCGCATGTGTATTGACTACCGCCAGTTGAACAAGGTTACAGTGAAGAACCGTTATCCTCTGCCTCGTACAGATGATCTGTTTGACCAGCTTCAGGGCGCACAAGTGTTTTCTAAGATTGACTTGCGCTCTGGTTACCATCAGTTGAAGATTCGGGAGCCAGATATCCCGAAGACTGCCTTCAGGACTCGGTACNAGCAAGAGAATCCAATTAAATTATTTTTTAAATTTATTATATGAGTAAAATTATTTTTCAAGTTGAAAAAAATATAATATTAAGAAGGCCATACAAGTGTTTGTGGAAGCACAATCAAAGCTAAATCATGAACAAGAATAAGCTTTCAAGACCATATTATAAAAAATCGACTCTGGTATAGTGGGATTATCCTTTGTAGATGCCTCCGGTGGAATCGAAATGATATTGCTATGTCATGCATTATTTGCAAATGTCAGATCAAGAGGAATGGTATTGTTACCAATAAGAACAAGTGGTGTACCAGCAACAGTTTTATTATGAGGTTGTACAACTCACTTTAGATTTGATATACCTCTTCAAATAACTGAAATTATCATCACAAATATATAAAATCAGATCAATAATACTAAATTTATAAGGAAAGCAAAAGTGATAATGTGGGATGGAGCGCTTTTGGCTACGCGTCAAATGATTGAAACAATCACCCAGAGTTTAGAGATATATTGGATATCGATGAACCGTTTGGTAGAAAAGTAATAGTTTGGGAGGTGATTTTTGTCAAGTACGATCAGTAGTTCCAAAATTGACCAAAGCAGAAACGGTAAAAGCTAGCTTGCCAAAATTATACTAATGAAATCAAATGAAAAATATTCAAATGACAAGAAATATAAAAGTAAGAACAGATCCAACATTCACTGACTTCTTGCTTCATGTCAGAAAGAAGAAGAGCTAGCATCCAATAAAAGATGATTTGGTTCTTCTAGAACACTTGGTTATCAACCCCAATGGTAATAAATGTGCATTTAATAAGGAAAATGTTTTCATTATTAGATTAACGCAATTTGTGCAAATTACATGATATAAATGAAAGAACTATCTTAGCTAGCAGAAATGAATATGTTGATCAACTAAATAAAAGGTTAAATACTAACTTTTATGGTAAAATAAAATATTTTTCAGTTTTGACACAGAAGAAGATGATACCAACAATACTACCAAGAAGAATACTTAAATACTTTAATACCAAATGGCCTTTTACCATACATGTTTGTTGTCAAGTTCATTATTTCTTATGTATGTTAGTGTCACCATATATATAATAGACTAAGTTAAAATTGATCTTCCATTGCATATAGGTTTATGCCCGTTATGCTACTGAAAACTTATATCTGCTGAATAGCTTATGTAATAGTACACATATGATATATAAAAGTTTTGACAATAACGTCATAAAAGTTTTGACCAAGTGTCCTTAACTTTTGAACTTGTAACTGTAAGTTCAGGACCAAGTGTCCGTAACTTTTGAGCTTGTTAGTCTAAGTTCAGGACCTATTGTCCTTAAATTTTCAGCTTGTTAGTCTAAGTTCAGGACTTCAGGACCTATTGTCCTTAACTTTTGAACTTGTAACTGTAAGTTCAGGACCTATTGTCCTTAACGTTTGAGCTTGTTAGTCTAAGTTCAGAACCAAGTGTCCTTAATTTTTGAACTTGTAGTTCTAAGTTCAGGACCAAGTGTCGTTAACTTTTGAACTTGGAACTCGAAGTTCAGGATCAAGTGTCCTTAACTTTTGAACTTGTAACTGTAAGTTCAGGATCCATAACGTAGCAGAAAACCAAACGTTATTTGTAGCTTTTCACAAAAAAAAATTAATAATAATAATAATAATTGCAATTTACATATAAGATTGATGTCATATTCGACTCGGATGCAACATTGATAAGAGAAATCTACATAACCTTTTCATTACTAGTTCGATAAAAATACAAGTGACGACGATCTAGTGTCCCAAGATAATTTGTCTAATGATGATTCTGAGAATACAAAGGATGAGGATGATATAGAGTGCGATAGTGATGAACAGAATAAGTTACTGATAAGTTACGGAGTCCGCGGCAGTCGCCGTCTCACAGACGGCAGCACAGTTCTTCTTCCTAACATGAAAGAGATAGAAGAAAGGGTAACACGGTCTTTTCATATTAATTTTAATAGACTGGTGGCTACTATTGCTAAGCAAAGGCAAAGGAATACCTTAGTTTCCAAACCCATTGGGCTAGTACTCCCGATACATTTCAGGAAGAAATTCAAAAATAACCAGATTTACTAGTGGTCGTTCAAAAATAGCCCAGTTTCAAAAGTAATCGAAATCTAGCCACTTTTCATGTAAAGATAAATCTGAGCGAAAACACTGTTCAAAACCCGGAAAATACGCCAGTATATTATGCTAGAGTTCCAGCATAAGTATACTTGAACTCCAGCATATTATACTGGAGTTCCAGGATACGTATGCTGGAAATCCAGCATAATATGATGGAGTTCCAGCATAAGTACACTAGAACTCTAGCATAATATACTGGAGTTCCAGCAAAGTATACCGGTCCAGTATAATATGCTGGAAGTTCATACACAGGTGCATCGAACTCCAGTATATTATGCTGGACCGGTCTCTGTTGCAGCAAAATAGTGGCTATTTTTCATTGACTTGGTAAACGCTGGTTATTTTTGAATGACCAGTCCGAAAATTGGCTAGATCGTGCTATTTTACTACATTTCATGCTCAAGCCCAAAATAATGGTCCATATTTTTAGGATCCATTGTTTCTTTCCCCTGTTTACTCTTCCAATAACCTGAAAAACAATATGATGTTGTTTTCCCCCCTTTCTTGCCCCATATATTTATCTTTTCACGGTTGTGTTTCTTAATACCAAAACATTTACACTGTGATTGGTGAATTGCTTTAATATTTAATTTCAGGTAAAAGGAGGAACAATAAGAGCATCCGACACATTTCCAGGAGATAGGCATCTAATTGAGCTATGGTCACAAGATTCTCCCAAGCTTGAGAAAGACTACATTCCCCACCATGGTAACATTTTCGATAGGCGGGACCAAAACTTCGCGATTCGCTACGAGGGCATTACGTTCCGGGACATCCTCTTCGACTCAGGGTATCGAGGAGGAGGTCTATATGTCATTGACTCAGCTAGAATTCGTATAACGAGTTGCTTTTTCGTTCACTTTAGTACGGAAGGAGTTCTCGTTCAGAGAGGCCACGAGACTTTTATATCAGACACTTTCCTAGGGCAACATCCTACTATTGGCGGCGATAGAGGTGAGAGGGATTTCTCAGGCATAGCTATTGATCTTGCTAGCAATGACAATGCCATTACTGATGTTACTATCTTCTCATCAGCAATTGGAATTGTACTTCGGGGTGAGGCTAATATAGTCACAGGGGTACATTGTTACAATAAGGCAACATATTTTGGTGGGGTTGGGATTTTAGTTAAAGCATCCCAAAATAGGATAGATAATTGTTATCTTGACTATAACTCTATAGTCATTGAGGACCCTTTTTTAGTTCACATCTCAAATGGGTATTTTCTTGGAGATGGTAACGTTGTCTTGAAAGCGATTAACGGTCGAATTTTCGGACTAAATGTCATTAACAACATGTTTAGTGGAAACCCTTCAAAAATGACACCAATATTGAATTTGGATGGACAGTTTACTGATATTGATCAAGTTGTGATTGACCAAAATAATGTGAATGGTATGAGCTTGAGGTCAACTGCTGGAAAATTGACTGTTGCTGGAAATGGAACGAGTTGGGTAGCTGATTTTTCATCAGTTCTTGTATTTCCTAATAAGATAAATCATGTACAATACTCATTTTATTCTAGAGGAGGGGTTGCTGGATTTCCTGCACATGCTGTAACAAATGTATCAAGTAATGTTGTGGTTATTGAGAGTGAAAAACCAGTTGATGGAGTGGTGTCAGTTTTTGTCGACCAACATAATATTGTAGGTGAAAGAAACTTTCTCATGTAAAAAAATAAATTATATTGGAAATATTGTTTTTTGTTGTTATTATATGCCTTCTCCTCTATACGAAATACTAGTTGACCTATAATCGAAACAGTGATTATCCACTATTTTTCTCTTTTTGGTGATTGAAACACTAAACCTATTGAATAGAAGTGAAAGAACTTTATCATTAGAACAACCCTCACACATTATAATTAAGATTTGTCATTTATAAAATAATAAGGGTAAGTGCAATTATACTCATATGTTTAGGAACTAATTTTAAAGATGTCACGACCCGGATTTTCCACCATCGGGAGTCGTGATGGCGCCTACTAACGGAGCTAGGCAAGCCAACTTAATTAACAAATTCATTAAGCACCTGTTCCCATTTGACAATTTACGGCATTAAATAAAGGCGACTGAATTAAAATCATAAGCGGAAGACTTAAATGTAGATAGATGATCAATAATACAGAAGTTCCACACATATATCTCTACCCCGGGACTGGAGTCACATACTCACGAACATCTAAGGAGTTCTACATACAAGGTCTGAAAGAAACATAATCTGTTTATCTCGGGTACAATGAGATGACAGTCAAAATGTAAAGATAGAAGGGAGACGCCAGGCCTGCGGACGCCTGCAAGCTACCTCGGGTCTCTCTCTGGACTGAAGGTGCGCCCCCGTGCTAATGCTGCTGTTGCTGCTCAAAACCTGGACCTGTGCAAAAATGCACAGAGTGTAGCATCAGCACAACCGACCCCATATGCTGGTAAGTGTCTAGCCTAACCCCGGCGAGGTAGTGACGAGGCTAGACTGGACACCACATAAACCTGTGCAGTTATAAATATACAACGGAAACAAGATACCAAACAACTAGAAACATGGGAAGGGGAAACATGCTGTGGGGAGGGATAACAACAGTAACAGTAAATCCGAAGTAATCAATCTAGGTGCAACTTACAATTTAAAGCGAACAAGAAACTAATACCGACACTAAACACATTTGCATCAATAACTGTTGCGGCGTGCAACCCGATCCACAATTATAACACTGTTGCGGCGTGCAACCCGATCCACATATAACACTGTTGCGGCGTGCAACCCGATCCACATATAACGCTGTTGCGGCGTGCAACCCGATCCACAATTACATCGATAACTGTTGCGGCGCGCAACCCGATCCACAATTGTAACTCTCAACCTTGCCCAAGCAACAGTCGCAAATAAAGGGCAAGGGAGTAAACAAGTAATTGGAAAGAAATCCCCACAAGGGTACACAAACAACCAATGACAACCATGCAAGAGTAAATCGTTATTTCTCTTTTTCTCTCATTTTTATATCTTAACTCTCCTTAGCACTCGTGTCAAGCTCTAAGGCATTTCTCATTTCACATGCCCTCACCATTTGTATTTCAGACCGAGCCAATGCTCCACGAAGTTCTACAATCACAATATCATTCCCAATATGTTTACCACGTATAGAAGCCATCAATGATATGGAAGGCATAACAATATCCAAACAACTCACATATAAGGACTCACGGTCATGCTAGACCCCAATGTATAGGAACTCGTCACCATGCCTATACACCGTACTCGATCATTTAGCAATTAGCAAACAAGACTCGACTCTTATTCCCTCAAGCTACGGTTAAACCAAACACTTACCTCAACTCCCGCAGCCAAAACAATCCTCCACAACCGCTTTCCCTCTCGAATTCGGCTCCAACTCGACCAAATCTATGCAATAAGGATTTCATGATATCAATATATGCTAAACAAATCCAACCCAATGACTAATTGTAGCTTTTTCATCAATTTATCCCAAAAGGTCAAAAATGCCCCCGGGCCCACATGGTCAAAACCCGAGGTTCGAACCAAAACCCGTTTACCCATTCCCCCAAGAACTCAAATATGTAAGTTATTTTGGAATCGGACCCCGAATTGAGGTCCAAAACCCCCAATTTTAGAAAACCTAGGTTCTACCCTAAATTCCCAAGTTCCCCGTTAAAATCTTTGTTTTGAAGTTGAAATTATGTTTAAGGATGTTAAGGAGTAAAGAAAAATCAGTTAGAAAACACTTACCAATCGTTTTGAAGAAGTAGAATCGTTTGGAAAATCGCCTCTTATGTTTTGGGTTTTGAAAAAGTGAAGAAATGACTGAAAATCCCGACTTTATATACTGTGCTGAAGGCTGGCGCGGACTACACAAAAATGCACCGCGGCCGCGCCAAGGGAGGGAAGAAAAATGACTCTCTGAACCTACCCAGCGCGGACCGCACTGATTTGGTGCGCGGCCGCGCTGGTTGACCTAGAACTCACTGGCCCTCTGAACCTAGCCACGCGGACCGCGCAAGGACGCACCGCGGCCGCGCGGCTTCCAGCGCGGACCGCGCGGAAATGACCGCAGCCGCTCTGGGGGCCTGCAACCCCTGAATCTACAACCATCTGTTATTTTTTCTAGCCTAAGACCTCCCGGGACCTACTCAAAACTCACCCGAGCCCTCGGGGCTTCCAACCGAACATACATATAAACTCAAAAACATCCTACGGACTCATCCGTGCGATCAAATCGCCCAAACAACATCATAAGCATCAAATTAGGCCTCAAGACCCAGATTTCCTCCCAATTTTCATAAAACATCAAGTTTACTGCTTCAAGCTCAAAACACGTCAAATGACGTCCAAATCTTACCAAACTTTACAGCAATTGCTTAAATTATATTTAAGACTTGTGCTGGGCGTCGGAACCAAAATACGAGCCCGACAGCACAGTCTTCAAAACAAGTAACACTTTCAAATTCTTTAATTATTTTCAGAAAACAATTTCACTCAAAAATTCATTTCTCGGACTTGGGACCTCGGAATTTGATTCCGGGCACACACCCAAGTCCCAAAATTTCCTACGGACCCTCCGGGACTGTCGAATCATGAGTCCGGGTCCGTTTGCCCAAAACGTTGACCGAAGTCAAACTCAATCAATTAAATACCAAGATTTAACAATTTTTCTCACAAATTTCATATTTAAACTTTTCCGGCTACGCGCCCGGACTGCGCACACAACTCGAGGCAACCCCACATGAGGTTTCCAGGGCCTCAGAAGTACAGAGGAAGTAGGAATACAGGTGATGACCCTTTGGGTCGTCACATTAGACATCCAAACACTAGTGGAAATAATGGGACTACTCTTTTGCTTTTGTTAAAAGTAAAAGGAGTTAGTGATAACATATCTTTTCCTAGTCCTCCTCTTATTCCTCTCCCTTCTTTCTGTTTAAGGCAAAGAAAAAGGTTTAGATAAGACAATAATTATACTGTTATTTACAATCTATGGATTAAAAGAAGTTGCAACTTTTTCTTTTTCTTTTTGGTAATAGAAGAAGTTGCAACTTAGTACTTCCAAATGTTCGCCTTCTTATTATAGTCAAACAGCAATGATAAACTGATTGAACTTACAACTTGGTAGGAGTAATTGCAACTCCATTCTCCTGTATAGATAAACCTAAGATTTGAAGTTTATGAAATCCTACAAGAACAAGTTCAAGTTAATATACAATAATAATTTTTTGATACAGTCAAATATTTCAATATTTAGTGAATTTTTTTATGCATATGCAAGGTGTGAATGAAGCTATTGAATTCACGTGAATTCACATGTGATATTATAAATCGGCCCCTGTTCTCCCTCACTACTTATATAGTTATATGTAATGTTATTATATGTAAGGTTATAATTCGTTATATCACGTTTCCGTTCCAACTATTCACGTCCACTCCCACCCAAAAAGTTTTTAAACGAAAAAAGAAGTAGAAATCAAGTTAATTTTCTTCCAACTGTTGAATATTCATGTGGGGATGATACTATCTTTACTTTCTTCTTCTTTTTCAATATTTTGTTAGATAATATGTTTAAGAAAAGTCAGAATATTCTTACGAATATTTTAAAACTAAGTCAGTCCTAGAGCCACATAATGTGGTTTGAGCTTCCAAAAGTGTCATCATGCATTTATTAATTTTGACCCTTCAGGTTTTCTAAAGTCATTAAAATTTGGGTCTAACTTAGAGTAATATGGTTAGTGACATCCTTATGAATATTGCCACTGCCGTTACTTGATGAAATTCTATTTTAACTTCCTTAATCCTTTATACGCTTGACCATGGTCGTTTTCGACGTTTTTTTCTTTCTTTTTTGGCTTTTTATTCTTTTCTTACTATAACTACTGACGGCGCAACATGTATTCAAGGGGTGCCAAGTGACACCATTCATCGAAAAATTACTGTATAGCTAGGTAGTTTTTTTTTTAATATACATATATATACTAATCATTGTATTTTTTGGCTTCATCGTTAGTTTACTTATTTATATTTTGACCCTTAATGAAAAGTTTCGACTTCGCCACTCACTATAACCAATCATCCATCACATATGGATTAATACTTGCACCAATCAAATTTGTACCACTAAAGCATACTATCTTTATCTTAAACCAAAAAAATATAGAAGAACCATCCACCTTCAATTCGATCTCTAGTGGGACATCAATGAACATGCTTCCAAAATTTTAATATTTTTATACTGCGGATATACTTGGCTATCTTTCACCAACTATACCATCAAATCAAATATATTATCATCTCTTGGATGAGAAGAATTAATGTTCTTAATTATTTCTTTTCTTTTCTTTTATCTTCTTTGTGGGAAGTGGAGAGGGGAGTAGAGAGGTTGTTCCAAACATTCTTTTTCTTTCTTTTTGATAGCATAAACCAAAAAAGGCTAGACAATGGATAAACAACTCGCCACATCCTATAACATCCTATGCCACCACTTGTTTTCTTTTCTTTTCCATCTCTTTTATACCATTGAATTAAGCCTGATTTTTCACTCCCTCATATCTTCTTCATATCTCCTAAGTGACAATCATGGCTAAACCCCTCCCTCCAACACAAAGCCCAACCATTCTTGAACCTAAAACCCCTTTTCTTGATCAACACCATAACAATGAAAATACACTAAACTTCAACTTAGCAGTGATAATTGCAGCCCTAATATGTGCTTTGCTTTGTGCTCTTGGCCTAAACTCTATGTTACAATGTGTATTTCAATGCACTCATAGGACAATTTCTGAGCCAGTTGAATGGGTAGCTTCAAAGAGAATGAACACAGGGCTTAAGAAAAAAGATATGGTTGCTTTGCCAACATCTACTTATAATAATGCAAATTCTAGTGCTTCTTCTTCTTTTTCTTCATCAGTTTCAAGCTGTGCTATTTGCTTGTTGGATTTCATGGATGGTGAGAGAATTAGGGTTCTTCCTCAATGTAATCATTCTTTCCATGTTGCTTGTATTGATAAATGGCTGCTCTCACATTCCTCTTGCCCTACTTGTAGGCTTCATCTCAAGTCCGGTAATTGTTTGCCATTTTTGTAGAATAATATTGTCACATTTCGTAATTGAAATGTCTTCTATATGATGAGAGTTGTTGTTTGTAATTTTTTTTTTCTTTTTTGTCTCAAATGATCAAGTGTTGATGTAATTTAATTTTTTTCACGTTTGTGATTGTGTGCTAGATATATACTGTGTCATTGTAACAAAAAATTTCACAATTACTAAGGATAGTTTCTTCTGTTGGAATTAAAAGGAAGGGTCAATTGAGGATCGAAGATTGCACATTTGGAATACAAGATAATAAAGAGAATCAAAAGTTTAGAATTTTTCAAACTATCTGTGTCACGACCCAATATCCATTAAAGGCCGTGATGGCGCCGGACACCTCGGTCAGGTAAGCCAACATTAAGTAATTAATTAAACTCTCATTTTAATATTTTTGAAACCACCAATTTCCTTTAATTTAACTAGTAAAAAGTAATTTTTGCAGAATAAATAAAAGTGCTTACAATTTTCAATACTGAATCCATAATCACCCCAGAACCCGGTGTCACAAGTGCATGAGCAATCACTAGGAAATCAAATGAAGTACAATAACTGTCCGAAATTCAAATTTGGACAGAACGTAAATACAATACTCTGAAAGAGACTCTGCTAGCTGCGGGTCGTCTCGAGAGATGCAGCTCACCTAAGTCTCCGTATCAACCATGCTGCTACGCCCACTAGGCCACTAGAAATACATGTGCATGTGCAACAAAAATGCACAGCAAGTGTAGTATGTGTACGAAAACAATGCGTACCCAGTAATTATCCAGTCTAACCTCGAAGAAGTAGTGACGAGGGGTCGACTCCGACTCTTACTAGTGGCCCAATAATATCGGGTACAGTAAAAGGGGGAATAAACATGAAACAGAGTAAATATATGAAATAAACAAGTATAATACAATTCCCCTCTTTATAATTTTACTCAAGCTCTCAACTAGCAAGTTCCCTCCGTAACCGAAGCATATATATAGATATAGTAGATTTCATTAAGGAAGTTGTCATAATTCAAATCAGGGAAAATCCCTCAAATTCACTGGCTTCTAGCCAAATGCCACGCACGATTCCATGAGAATAATATATATATATATATATATGAAATGTCGCGGCGTACGGCCCGACCCAACATAAAAGTAAACGGTGCACTGCCAGAGGGTCGAATGGCGCGAACCATAGATGCATCTATTAATCTGCCGAGGCGATCGGCCCGCTCCCATGAGAGTAGTGGAAGGGAATACCCCGCTCGCGAATCATACATACAACGCGGTTACACATAGATTTTCTTAAGTTAAAATAAGGTCCCTCAATTATTTTCGAAAATACTCAGTTTAATGAATACACTTAAATTCTTAAATTCCTCAATTAAAATACTTTTCAACACAATTATTACGCACCCTCAATCTTGTTTCTTCTCAAAGCAAGCAATAACATAAATCAACAACAATATCAACAAGGCATGATGTAGCCTAAGACTACCCGGACATAGGCATAATAGGAGATACGCACGGACTCTCGTCACCTCGTGCGTACGTAGCCCCTACAAATAGGAGCACATATTTAATTATTTCACCTATGGGGTTAATTTCCTCTTACAAAGTTAGAAAGGAGACTCACCTCGCTCCGAAGTTCCATAACCGGCTCCTGAGCCCTTCAAACAACTCGAATCGATCACAACGCTCCAAAACTAGCAATAATTATGCAAACCCATTAATATACGCACAATTACTCATTATAATCCAATTTATAATAATTTCTAACCCCGATCGAAAAGTCGATAAAAATCACCCTCGGGCCTACATGCCCGGATTCCAAAATTTTTGGAAGATAAAGTTTACCCATAACCTTACGAACTCAAATATATAATTTACTCTCATTTTCATGCCCAAAACCGTGGTCAAAATCCAAGAATACCAATTTTCTAGGTTTTTCCTTAAACCCCAAATTTTCTACTAATTTCCATGTTAAAACCTATACATAATCGATGTATTTAACTCAAAACTAGTATAAACCACTTACCTCAGCTTGGTGGTGAAAATGGCGCTCCCAAGTTGCTCCAAAACCGGCTCCCATGGAGGAAATGGGGTTGAAATGACCCAACTCGTTTTTAAAAGAACACACTGCCCAGCCCGATTTTCGCACCTGCGGTCACTTGACCGCTTCTGCGGTTCCACAGGTGCGGCCCAACTACCGCTTTTGCGGTCATTCGCCAGCCCCTTATCTCCGCATCTGCGGCTCCACGAACGCAGGTGCGATCCCGCTTCTGCGGACTTTGACCGCATCTGCGGTCCACTCCTTCAGCAAAAATCCGCTTCTGCGAGCCACTTCACGCTCCTACGGGCCCGCACCTGTGGTGCTCTTCATGCAGGTGCGATTACACCAGAAGCCCAGTTGCTTCAGCCTTTCCTCAAATTCTATTTTTCAATCCGTTAACCACTCGAAATCCTCCCGGGGCCCCCAGGACCCCGTCCAATCATACCAACCAGTCCCAAATAATGCGGACCTGCTCGAGGCCTCAAATCACATCAAACAACGTCGAAATCACGAATCACACCCCAATTCGAGCTTCATGAACTTTAGAACTTCAAACTTCTACATTCGATGCCGAAACCTCTCAAATCACGTCCGATTGACCTCAAATTTTGCACACAGGTCATATGCGACATTACGGACCTACTCCAACTTCCGGAATCGGAATCCGACCCCGATATCAAAAAGTCCACTTCCGGTCAAACTTCTCAAAAACCTTCAAATTTCTAACTTTAGCCAAATGACTCCAAAATGATCTACGGACCTCCAAATCCACTTCCGATCGCGCTCCCAATACCAGAATCAGCATACAGAGCTATTCCCAGACTCGGAATCCCAAACGGACATCCATAGCATTGAAATGCACATCAACCCAAATTTATAAAATTCTTCCAAAATGCTAACTTCCACAATAAGCGCCGAAATGCTTCCCAGTCATCCAAAACCCGATCCGGGCATACGCTCAAGTCAGAAATCATCATACGAACTTGCTAAAACCTTTAAATCCTTATCCGAGGTCATTTACTCAAAATTTCAGTCTTAATCAATTCTTCCAACTTAAAGCTTTCGAAAACGAGAATTTTCTTTCCAAATCAACTCTAAAATTCTCAAAATTCAATTCTGACCATGCGTACAAGTCATAATACCTTAAGTGAAGCCGCTCATGGCCTCAAACTGGCGAACGACGAACTAGAGCTCGAAACGACCAGTCGGGTCGTTACATTCTCTCTCACTTAAACATACGTTCATCCTCGAACATGCAAAGAACTGCGTTGGAGTTGTCCGAAGTCACTATTTAACACCTCGTGCACCTACCCGTGCTACCACAACTCAGTTCAGCACATTAGCTCAATCAAATCTCAAGATATCCTCTATTATTCAGGCAAATAAGCTTAGAGCCCAATTCCAACATCCGGAATTCTCTAACGGCCTGCTCCCAACATACGAACATCGTATCATCACCACACGATGCACCGATACATCATTGCATACCTTTGCTGAATTCACACTATGCACTGCATAGCTCACATGACCATAATAACATCCTCTGATAACAATAGCGGAAATTCCACGAATCTGATGCTCCCAATGCACCTCATGACATATATAAGTCTTGTCCCAACTTTTGCAATACCGCCACGACGGAAGAGATGTGTAGAAATTCATAACCAACTGCCGAGTCAACAAATCATTGAGTCTCTACTCCTGAAAAGAACCATCACCTCGTTCTGGACCAACTAATGGTATTTGCTCTTTAACATACTTCCTAAAATCCGATTGCACTGATCCAAAATCCACTAATCTCTTCTTATCCATTACGAACTTCTCAGGTAATAAGCCACCCCAGACATGACCAAAAGTCTCATATGATGCCACAACGTGCCAATAAGCTACAAACTTGAACATGATACATAAGAAAAACGGACTCTGGAAGGGACTAATCAACTCACGCAACTAATATGAACCTTCCTCCGAAAATGGGAAGCAAATCACACAAAAATTAGGATATAGGGGACTGAACTCGACATCATACTGTTCCGGCGTGCAACCCGATCCAAACAACATACCCGTGGCGGCATGCCACCTGATCCCCACATAAAATCCATATAAGGAGATACATACCGAGCTAGAGTGATCATTACTACAAAATACCGAATATCGGCCACAAGCACGCTAAGTACATAATACCATTCCTGGGGAGACAGATAGCTCTATACGCTACAAAACTCAAGCACATCTAAAGTGGGATATATGATCTGAATCTCGAGAGCCATCCTGCTCACATAATACCTTCGCTACGCGGAACCTCAATACATATGAATTCATGAAGCCGTTTCAAAACTCACACGGCACAATATAGTATTACATGAAATAGCCAACGACGAATTAACATCCAACGCTCGAATACTCCTTTATAAGGAGTGCTATGCCGAAATGAACACATCTGGCTTGATATAGAGCCCACATTCATATTTAAATCCACCCACTGACCTCAAGCCGATTCCGACTACACCGTACTAGGCTAATAACCTTTCAAGGGTTAATTATAACCCCTTCTTCCCCATAAAACACAAGAACAACCATTACCAACAGAACAAACTCCCACAGTCCACAACCAATGGACTGCGCGCCCTCCAGGCATAAATTCTCAAATTAGCGTTGTTACCACAATCTTCACACTTGGTTTAAATCTTCAATCAATCAGGTGACCACATGTCACACTTATACAATCTCCCCGTAGGGTAAGCTTCACGATCTTCCACACTAGGTAAAAAGTCTGCACATCCATACCACCGGTCATACTAGTTGCAAAGCAAATCAAGAATCCTTAACCAGGATGCAAGGCCTCTTTCACAAACACCGATCTCATGTGACGCTGAAGACAATACCATCTTACTCTAAACACTCAAATCCCTTTCTTGCTCATCCGAGCTCGTGACATCCTTGCCAACACCGAACCGCAACCTTGATCCTCACTTTCAAATTTCATACCGCTCACCACATCTAACATCC